AATTGACTAAAATTCAACTTAATTTTCGTCTGATTTGATAGTTAGAGGCATATTTCTATTATAAAAAGTAAAAAAAAAAATCAGTTTATTTTTGAAAAGTTGACTAAAATACAGCTTTTTTTTCATCTAATTTTGATAGTTAAAGGTGAAAATTGACCAAAATTTAACTTAAGGTCTTTTTGTTCTTAGAATGATTTTTTTTTGGGATTTTGGTGGAATGTAAAAAGAAAAAATTTGGTAATGATTGAAATTATTTTTTAAAAAGTTAAAAAATTAAGTTTATTTATATAAATATTCCTATATATCAGAAATAAACTTAAATAGTACATTAAATCAATATTATTTTAGCAAATTAGTTTAATCTGAAAGTTCAGTTCATTAGAATAATACCATCATTTTTAAGAAACGATAAAATAATTATTCTTTAAGAATGATAAAACCATTATCTTTAAGAAACGATAATATCATCATATCTTAGGAATGATAAAACTATCGTTCCTAAGGAATGATAATACCATCATTTTTTAAGAATGATAAAATTATCATACCTAAGGAATAATAATACCATCATTTCTTAGGTACGATAAAATCATTGTACCTTAGAAATAATAAAATTGTCATATTTAAGATATTATAAATGCATCATTTCTTAGGAATGATAAATGCATTATACTTAGAAATGATAAATGCATCGTACTTTAAGAATGATAAATGCATCATTCCTTAGAAATGATAAAATTGTTATATTTAAGGTATGATAATATCATCATTCCTTAAGTATGATAAAACTATCATACCTTAGGTATGATAAAATCATCATACTTAAGGAATGATAATACTATCATTTCTTAGGTATGAAAAACAATCGTTCTTTAGAAACGATAAAGCCATCATTCTTTAGGTATGATAATATTATCATCTTTAAGGAATGATAAAATAATTGTCCCTAAGGAATAATAAAATCATCGTATCTAAAGAATGATAAATACATCATTCTTTAAGAATGATAATATTATTATACTTAAAAAACAATAAAACTATCATATCTAAGAAATAATAATACCATCGTATTTTAGGAATGATAATACTATCATATCTTAGAAATGATAATATCATCGTACCTTAAGAATAATAAAATCATTATACCTAAGGTATAATAAATATATTATTTCTTAGAAACGATAAAATTATCATACCTTAGATATAATAATACCATTATTTCTAAGGAATGATAATACCTATCATATATAAGGAATAATACAATCGTTCCAATTAGACATCAATTAATTATAAATAAGATAGGTTGAATTTTGATATATACTAATTGGCTATAAATAAGATAGGTTAAATTTGGCTAATTCTTAGCTGATTTTTAATGTATGCTAATCGGCTAGGCTGATTTTTGATAATTTGCTAAATTTAGGTTGAATTTAGGCTGATTTTAGGCTAATTTTCACATCTCTGATTTTTTTGATTTTGACCAATGTATTTTCTTATCTTACTATTGGACTTCACAAATAATTCAAACTTGAATATATATTACAACTTCTGAAATTTTTGCTACATACTATTTCTTGTAGAAACACCTGTATGAGTTCTTTCAATCTGATTACCTTATAAGAAACAAATACCATGGATGTTCCTTAACGATTGTACTATATATTTATTTGTATAAAATATCTTGTAATATTGCGTACTTGGATTATACATTTTTTTTTAAAAAAAATTGATTTATCGATGGTATAAATATAGAATAAAATTTAATTTAATTAAGGAATCTACGAATTCATAAGATATCAATAAGTTTATTTATTATGCAAAATCAAGCGGAAGCAAATCTGATGTGTTTTTTTGTCAAGTTTAAATTGTTTAGGATCTTATTTTACAAATTTTAGTTTTTTAAGAAAAATCACTGTATAGAAAGTCTTTTGACTTTCTAATACTTTATTATATGTATTTAAAATTTTATTTTTATATTTAATGTATTTTATTAAATTTAACTTCATTTAAATTTTAAGTCAATGGAACAAAAGCTTTATACTTCAGACTATTATATACCAAAGATACATCATACATATTTTTGAATAATCTGATTTCATAACTTAAACTAAAAATTTTTATATAATAACAATTTGTATGTAGTCAATTCTATTGAAAGATAAAAGTATGATAACTATTTTATGTATAAAATTATTTATTTGATTCTTTTCTTCAAAATTTATTTAATTTAAGATACAATAAACTGATTTTCCTTTTCCTGTCAACTTTTTTAAATTCAAATCTTTTTTTAAAATAATGACATTCTCTATTTACTTTAACACATAATTTTTATAACATACTCATATTTTTTTTCAAAATAATTCAGACGATTTTAATGCATGTGTCTTTTTTAAAAAAAAATATTATAAGTCTAACTTCTTTTCTTTCTCTTTCTCAATGTTTAATACTTTCAATACTCAAATTTTAATTTCTTTCTCTTTAATAGCCAGTTCTCGTAATTTCAAGACTTGTATTTTTACTTCTCTCTCTTTATTGGCTAGTTCTCATTCCTTGAAAGTAAGATGCCTTTCTTTCTTGACTAAATCTGCTTTGTTTGCTTCTCTCTTTTTAATAGCCAGTTCTCATTTACACCTGTTCATTTTTTGAAGGCACTAGTTATCAAAGTCCATTTGGCAGAGACCTGCTCAAGTAGGATGCATAAAATAAGTTTATTTTGACAAGAGTTAAATTCATTTATTTTAACCGGTTAAAAAAATCTTTAACCGGTCAACATGTTAACCGTTTTACCAGTTAAAAATTAAACAGTTCCAACCTCTGATTTTAGGATATGAATAAACAACTTTATATTAATTTGACAGGTTTAATGATAAATAAAAAATCCTATGAATTAAATAAAAAATACACACCAGGATAAATAAAATATATAACGGAAGGTTAAAGGAAAAGAAGTTGAAATTTTAGTCTGGAAAGGATAAAAAGTTGAAATTATTAGGTTAAGGATAAGAATTTGAAAATTTAGTGAGGTGGAGAGTATTTATAATAAAATCAAATACGCGTAATGTGTGACATCACACATACTATATATAGACTGATCTACTAAATAAATTACGCGTTATTAGAAATTTGCTGATGTTTGAAAGACTTTGGTAAGATAACATTAAATACATTAACAGAAATGAATTTATTGTAGAAGACGATAAATACTAAATTATGAAAATATTCTTATTTACTATAAAAGCTCCTGTGGTTCATTTATAAAAAGTAGACATCCGGTGTACCAGTTGCAATCCTTTGATAATCCGAGCAACAACAGCCCTTTTTACAGGTCAAGAACAATGTGGCTTAAGTGCCCGTGAAGATGATAGATATCGTTTGTATGAATCTTTCTTGTAAGCTTTTATTGTTAGAATTGACTATTTACATTGGTTAATTTTTTAACACCATACTAAAAATTTTTATTTTCAATCAAATGTTGAATGCTTGGTGATTTAATTTTTTCTAAATATCTTGTACGAAGACCCGCTATCTCTTTATAAATTTACGATATTTAAGCGCTTCAATGGTGAAAATTTTAATGCAATTTTTGATGTAATTGAGCAATGGGTGATCCTTATTTCTTGGCTCTCGTATGGTATATTTGTAATGAAAATTTTTTGAAAAAATAAATTCCTTAGGATTTAATTTTAAATAATCAATTTCTTACAGGTATCTATTAGTTGGAATTATTGAAGAGGTGATTACAATGATTTATAGCATTGAAATTCAAAGGCAACTTCTTAATTTACATATCCGTTCGATTTATTATAATATTATATAATTATATGTCTACAACAAATTAGGGATTGGATTCGATTCAAAAAAAATAGAATCGATTTAATCGCTAATAATTGTTCTCAAGATTCAAAAGATTCCAATTCATCAATTCTAATCGACTTTTATGGAATAGCGATTTTTTGAACGTGGATATCACCAAAATTTTATTTACAAAAAAAAAAAAAAAAAATCATTTTAACAAATTATTTTTATCGAAAAAGTTATTCAGATATCTAATTTAGCTTTATATTCTTCAAAACCAGGTAATTTAATACATTAAGGTAATGGATTTCACCCCTTTATTGTGTATAAATTTAGCATTCTTTTTATTTTATTTTTATGTAACTTCTTTTTTACTAGTGTTCGAATTTGTTTTTAATAAAAATTATCATTTCGGATGTACGCTGCTATATGTGTATTTTTTAGTTTTTTTAGTTTTTTTTATTTTTTTTATTTTTTTAATTTTTGATCGAAGTGATTATTTTGTTTTTAAATAATTTTTATTATTTTATTTTATAGGTTTTTTCCTTTTTTTATGGACTTTTTTTCCTCAAAATACAATTTTATATGTTGGTGAATGGTTTAAATTACGTCCTAGTTTTTATCCACAAATCTGTGTCACTAAAGTTCAATTTTTAATTTTCGAATTATTCGATTTGTTAGAAACAATTCCAATTCCTTACGACAAATGGTTTTTAATTTTCAATCTACACGAGAAGGAAATATTTTCTATGAAAAGATAAATTTCTCGTAAATTAATTTTACTCTTAAAGGTAGATTCGTGTAATTGAAGAGTACTGGTCTGAGAAACAGCTAAGAGGAACATACATGTTATAATCGAACCTCCCATGTCAACTGCCACTTCGAGCCGTGAACAGGAATTGCTTGACCGTATCGCATCGTTAGGGGAATCACTTAACAAGTCTGTCCATGGTATGTATAAAATAATGGGGAAGGTCGAGAGGTTTGCAGAACAAGCATTTTCTAACAAGTCATTATATTGCAGAGTTAGACGTCGTTAGCTGAAGGCTTTCAATTAGACAGTGAATATTGAACACGCGACATTCCAAGGCCTCAAAGATTTTATACGTGAAATGTACCAGCCACTCGAAAATGATGGAGCGGTATTAAACTTCATTAATGATGGGGTAGATATTCACTAGGAACGATGCTTCATTTCGAGACATATTACAACTGTTCGTAGCCTTAAGTTTAGCGTGTTTACAGAGACTCCATCAAAGCTTTCTCGGAATGGTCGTTCCCAAAAGTGTGTCACTTTTTTGGTATTAGAATTGACCCGAATCCTGGCATTGATGTGTTTCCTGTTTTTTTCATGTAGCTCTGCTGACCTAAATAGCTAAAAATCCAAAGTCGTGGTTAAGCACTTAACGGCTGAATTAAAACTTCGTCAAGATGAGACTCCTCTCAACAAGGCATATGAGGCAGCGGAGACTATTTATTCTTATTGTTATCTGGCAACCGGGGTCTCGTTATATAAATATAATTTAAATTCATACTGGAAAATATCGAGGGTCGAAATGAACAAGGGAAACCTTGCTTATGTGATAGAGTGTCGTTCGACTGGTAGGTTCCTTGGTATATTCTTAAGAAGAAATATCGTCGCGAAACAAAAAAACTTTTTTTTAAATTTATTTTTATTGTAAATTTATAACTTTTATTTTTCTTTATTTTTTTTTTAAAAAAAAAACTTTTTGATGAAGGTAATGAAATCGGACATTTTAATAAAACAAATTAATTTTATGGATCCAAAGATAGAAAATCAACATTATCTTGTATTATTACTCCATATTTTAATTAATATATATATATATATTTTATTATAAAAATCGATGCTTTCTTTCATGGCAACTGTTTAGAAGCGGAATTTTGTCGTATGAAAAAATTTCCTTTTAAAATTTTGCAATAATGTTTAACTTAAAATTTCATATTTCAAAAGACTTAACCCCGTTTCAAATTGCTTTTGATGATCTGCAACTTTTTATACCATAATAGATTTGTCACATTTGTTAACAATTTTATAGTAGAGACATTGCGAAATAAAGATATCTTTTTTGAGTATCCAGGTAATTTATTGAAATCATTAGAATCAGAAACTTATTTTTTTATTATGTAGGATTCAATATATGCTCGAACGAACAAATCACAAAACGAACCAGTAACAGATATAAAATTTTCTTCCTTATTTGGGTTGCAACCGTAAGTTAACTTTCTAAATATGAAGTTGAAATGGTTTTTATTACTAGGAAATCAGAAACTAGGCAAGAATTCGGTGACGCGTCATCTAAAGCAATTCGCAACACCTCCAAAAGAATTGTATTAAAGATAATCGCATTACACTGGAGATGACATTAATTTTATTCCCCAGATAAAAGGCGTCGGTGTAATCATTAATTATTCTATATATGATTAAAACTTTCGGTATCAAGAGGAAAATTCTAAAAAAACAATTATTATACTCTAGAAATGTACTATTAAATTTATTTATTTACTATAAATGTAGTTTTCTTGCAAATTATATTATGGTCGTTTTTTTGTATCTAAATTATAAATTTATCAGAACATCCATCATAAATGGGCTACCTTTTCATGCTTATAAACTATAATAAATTTTTCAGATTTTCTCGTGCATTAGTATTGCCTCCTTCCGCAGATTTTAAATACCATTCAATTGCTTTCTTCGAACTTTTAAATGTTCCTTTACCATATTGATAACAATAACCTAGACTATATTGTGCATTAGAACTTCCTCCTTTTGCAGACTTCAAGTACCACATGAATGCTTTCTTTATATCTTTATTTGTTCCGTTACCATAATAATAAAAACAACCTATGTTACATTGTGCGTCAATATTTCCTCCTTCCGCAGACTTCAAATACCATTCAAATGCTTTCTTTTCATCTTTATTTGTTCCGATACCATGTTGATAACAACAACCTACGCAACATTGTGCTTCAGCGTTTCCTCCTTCTGCAAAATTTAAATACCATTCAAATGCTTTCTTTACATCTTTATTTGTTCCGTTACCATGTTGATAACAACGACCTACGTTACACTGTGCATTAACGTTTCCTCCTTTAGCAGACTCTAAATACCATTTAAATGCTTCCTTTTCATCTTTATCTGTCCCGATACCATCTTGATAACAACTACCTACGCTATATTGTGCATCAACGTTTCCTCTTTCTGCAGACTCTAAATACCATTTAAATGCTTCCCTTTCATTATGATCTACCTCTATACCATAAGAGTAACACTTCCCTAAATAATATTGTGCGATAGAATTTCCACCTCTTGCAGCCAATAAATACCATTCAAAAGATTCCACTTTGTTTTCATGCGTTCCTCTACCATAATAATAACATCCTCCTAAACTATATTGCGCATCAGTATTTCCTGCTTTAGCAGATCTTAAATACCATTCAAATGCCTCGTTCGTATTTTCTTTTGTTCCTTCACCATATTGATAACAATGACCTAAAATATATTGTGCATCAGAGTTTCCAGCTTCGGCAGATTTTAAGAACCATCGGTATGCATTTATCTTATCTTCACTTGTTCCTTCGCCATTTTTATAAGAAATGCCTAAATTATATTGTGCTTTAGGATTCCCTCCTTTTGCAGATTTTAGATACCATTCAAACGCTTTCTTTACATTTTTATTCGTACGTTTACCTTCTTGATAAATAGAACCCAAACTATATTGTGCATTAATATTTCCTCCTTCAGCAGATTTTAGATACCATTCAAATGCTTTCTTTTCATCCTTACAGGTTCCTCTACCATGATCAAAACAATCACCTAAACTATATTGTGCATCAATGTGTCCGCCTTCAGCAGATTTTAAATACCATTCAAATGCTTCCTTTTCATCTTTATAAGTTCCTTTACCGTGATAATAACAATCTGCTAAACGATATTGTGCGCAAAGATTTTCACTTTTGGCAGATTTCGCATACCATTCAATTGCTCTCCTTTCATTTATCTTGGTCCCTCTACCATATTCATAACAACAACCCAAACTATATTGTGCATCGACATTGTCACCTTCAGCAGATTTTAGATACCATTTAAATGCTAACAATTCATTTTTATCTGTTCCTTTGCCAAATTGATAACAATAACCTAAATGATATCGTGCATCATTATTTCCTTCTTTTGCAGATTCAAAATACCATTGGAATGCTTTCTCTTCATCTTTATTTGTTCCTTCTCCATATTGATAACAATTACCTAAAGCATATTTTGCATCAGAATTTTCACCTAAAATAGATTTTAAATACCATTCAAATGCTTTCTTTACATCAACGTTTGTCCCTCTACCGAAATGATAGCATCTTGCCAAATTATATTGCGCATCAGGATTTCCTTCATTCGCAGATTTTAAATGCCACTCAAATGCTTTGTTATAAATTTCTTTAACATCTTCGTGGTGGCTAGTTTCCACTTGATTTTGGTCAAGAGAGCTTTTGTTGTTTGGAAATCGTATGACCCAATCGAACGAACTTCTACTCACGATGATTTCTCTATAATAATACAAGGCGAATAAATAATTTCCAATAACGATGTTATATTTTTTTAAATCATCATCAAGATGATTTGGAATTTCCTCACCATCATCGATATTCTTGGATAATAGGTAGAATTCATACGCCCTATTTACATTAATCACGCACCCTCCAATACCATGTTGAAGAAAAAATCCAATTAAGCTAGAGAACCATATTTCATTTTTTTGATGATTTACCATTAAATCAAAAATAGATTTGAATTGAATACATACAATGTAATTTATCCATTTGATGGTTTGATTCTCAAAATTTTTCAAATCACAAATATGATCAGCATACACGACCCTATCATGAAAATCTTTAAGAAACTTTTTTAGGAAACTTTCATTGGTTTTGGTAATTAAAATCCTTATTTCTTCTCTCGATTTCATTTTATATTGAGATATTAGATTAATTTTTTTGTTTTTTAGGGTGAAAAGAATACTTTTTTATCAGGGTCTTTGAGTTCGGTTAAATAGTTGCGATTTCAATTCATGTGTTCAAAAAGATTTTCAAAACAAAAGCTGACGAACGTCACATAAATAATTTCTAACAAATGGATAAAGAGCGTACAAGCTTCTGCTTATGGAATGAATAAAAGGTGAAAATCTTTTTAAGGTCCTTTAAAGGCAATTTGTTTATATGCAGTAAAACTATTGGGCGTTAGATGTACGCTCTATCATCAAATCTAGAATTTTTTGTTTTTCAAATGACCGGAATGAATTTTACGAATCAACGCCAATTCCCTTTTTCTCGTTTAAATAAACGTTGTTCCTTGGCAAAATCAATGAAGCGCCATTGAACGGTTACCTTTTTCATTCAAATAACGGAAATCACGTGACACGGATTTTTTCAAACAAAAAAAAATTCCGAGCTACGGCAATTTTCTATTACGAGGAAATTTAAAGAAACATTCTCACTCACATCGCGCAAATAAAGATTCTTTATTCCGTGATAAAACGATGCTTATATTGACTCCTAGGTTAATAGCGCACGATCATTTTTGTATAATCACGTTAATATGAACGAATGAAATAGAATGAAACTTATTTGAAACAATTTGTTTATTAATCCATTTTTATATATTATATAATTAAAAAGTTTATGAATGAGACGGTTAGGCTAAATTTATATTTTTGTATTCTTGTACGACAGGTTTGATGTTTATAATAATGCAAGTTTAGGCTGTCCAATGTTAGGATGAATATCTTTCGAGTCCCATTATAGATAATTTCATCGACCTGTGTTTGGAACACCTGACCTACCTGCTATTTCCGGGTAATAATTTCACCAAAGCAAACATGTGAACCATTCGTAATAATGCAGGTTAGAGTACATCACCCCATGGGATTATTTGACTAGTATTATTAATGAAAATTATTTCGTGATGAATAACCGGTGACAAATATGACGAAACTTTTCTACGACCCCGGAATTAACCTAAGAAAAAATAATCAAAACGGGGCGTGATAAATATTTTGCCATAAGCACGTGAGAAAATTTTGGGGTTTGATATACAATGGATTCACCACACATAATTTTGGCTGGTCAATTACAAATACGATAAAATTAGCAGGTTCATATGCATAACATC